GGGTTGCTCTCCTATAGGGGCAGTTCTAACCCGTCCTGTAGGGTTGTTCTCCTATAGGGGCAGTTCTAACCCGTCCTGTGGGGTTGCTCTCCTATGGGGGCAGTTCTAACCCGTCCTGTGGGGTTGCTCTCCGTCAGCATCAACTCGCTGGCAGTGAGTTTGGTTTCGAATTTAGCTAGTTATAAAAACAAAAACATTTTTCATTGTCAGCCCGGTTTACATGCATCAATATACCTGCCAGGCTAAAACTCTATGCTAATTTACAGTTTGAATGTCTAAGGTGCTCTGGCCAGAGTGTCAAACAGAGTCTGCACCAAGCTAAAAACACACGCTGTGTCTCCTGCTGAAGTGTTTTTATAACTGTTGATCTTGTGGAATTTTCTTGTGCTATAGCCACAATATTATGGTCACTGGTATTTGTGAACTTCTATCAATAACTTTTTCGCAAATGAAGTAGTAATTAATGGAAAAGGCAGCGAAAAATCAGAAAGAAGCTTCCAATCAGTTACTAACAATGTGGTAAGTAGTAATGTTATAATTCAATGTCAAAAGACTTACAAAACAAATTTTCTGTTACTATTCAAATAAAGAATCAATTCATTGCAGCCATTTACAATGTGTTGCTTGTACAATTCTATGGTTACAGTTGATCATAAACATCACGAAGGGTCTGTACCGGCTGGTGCAGGAGAAGGTCCGTGTGGCTGCTGTGACACACAGGTTACAGCCATGTGTCACCATGGGCCAGTCACTTTCTCCCTCTCAGCCTCAGTTTCCACAGGGTGTAAAAGTAGGAATTGCCACCCTTCTCAAACATTTTCACTGACGTTCTCGTAACAGCATAGAAGACATGCTCAGAACTGCCGGAAATGTGCTTATTTTTAAACCTCTGGCATAGTTCACATTCTGTCCCATAATATAACAATGTTGGTAATACAAACATGGTCCCTACACCACTGAATCCTCTCCAAAAAGTGGTGCCCTGCGTAGCAGGCCTTGCTCGTGCAGCGGATTTGTGGCCCGAGATTCGCAGACTCTGGAAGACGCCAGCAGGAGCAGGACGGGGTGGACAGAGGTGCTCAGTGGACCCAGCTCTCTGTCC